TTTAAGGAAAACAGGTAGAAAAGAATATGCTATAATAGCCTGCATTTACAAAGCATGAAGTATGCATTGTATTTGTGAAGAATAAGAAAAAAGGAGATCCTGTTTTCTTGTTCATGTGCAGATATAATTATGTTGGCTAGAGGCATAAGGTAGTTTTTGTTCTCATGTTTTCCTGATGTAGTTATCTAAAAAGAGATGTTTTGATGTAGTTATGCTGGGTATGAGGGTGCTTTATTTCAATTTAGCTTATTTCCTCATTCATACATAACAACACTAGGGCATTATGAGAGCTGTGCATGGCCTGTCTCAGTTTTAACTATATTATAATAGTGAAAGAGGTTTTTAAGCAAAGCAAATTAATGTAAGGGCCAAACTCACATGAGGTAGAAAAATCCAGGAAGAGCATTTACAACTGAGACCTAAAAACACTGTGGTTTTCTCTCAGTCAAAGAATATGTCAATGTTGCTTGATTGGCATTTCCTGTTTCTGTGACTCCAGGTCCGAACTTGATCTCCCTTCCTCTTGTGCCGTTCCATTGGGTTAAAAGGATTTTCTCATGGGTTACACCCAGTAATGGCTGAAGAGACTCTTTTGACTGCTTCTCAAGACTCAGTTAGTCTGTCTTTTGAATCACTTGCTTTGACTTGCCTGATTCATTTAAATGGTACTTATTTCTCATAATGATTACCAAAATGATTTATCTGTTTCCAGACAAATACTTCCATGTGTCCATCTTCTCTGTCCTTCTTTTCTCCTCCTCCTTTCAGTGAGAGCATTTTCCTTCTCCCAATTTATTAAAATAAGAAAAGTCAAGGTAAAAGATCAAGTCACTATTCTGCTCTGCTCGTACTACCAGCATACTTGGTTTTCCGTACCAAAACTGGAAGCTCTGAGAGACATGCTTACTTGTAGAACAGCTTTTATATGGCAGAGATGATGCTCCCCCGTAGTAACCAGTATTTATTTTTTTTTTAATGCTATTTTTTACCTTTAGAGTTACAAATGTTTACATTCTTTACCCTGCTGTTTTTTAATTCTGGCTTTCAGGTGTTATGATTATGGTAAAGGAAAAATGTAAACTTAGAAAAATTACAAATATAGAAGGTGAAAACAGAGTAGAAGGGAAAGAAACATTAACCTGAGGAAATATTATTATTCTGAAGAATTTCACAGAGGCAAATACCTTCAAGCCAGCAGGGGTAGAATAATGTGTCAATGTGACATTCCTCAGGGGTCAGTACTGGGACCAGTGCTGTTTAACATCTTTGTTGGTGACATGAACAGTGGGATTGAGTGCACCCTTGACAAGTTCGCCGATGACACCAAGCTGTGTGATGTGGTCGTCACGCTGGAGGGAAGGGATGCATCCAGAGGGACCATGATAGGCTGGAGAGGTGGGCCCGTGCAAACCTCATGAAGTTCAACAAGGCCAAGTGCAAGGTCCTGCACATGGGTCGGGGCAATCCCAAGCACAAACACAGGCTGGGTGATAAGTGGATTGAGAGCAGGCCTGCAGAGAAGAACTTGGGGGTATTAGTGGATGGAAAACTGACTATGAGCCAGCAATGTGCACTCACAGGCCAGAAAGCCAACCATGTCCTGGGCTGCATCAAGAGAAATGTGGCTGGCAGGTCCAGGGAGGCGATTCTCCCCTTCTGCTCCACTCTCATGAGGCCCCACCTGCAGTGCTGTGACCAGCTCTGGGGCTTCCAATAAAAGGACATAGACCTGCTCGATCAGGTCCAGAGGAGGTCATGAAGATGACCAGGGCACTGGAGCACCTCCCTTATGAAGACATGCTAAGAGTTGGGGTTGTTCAGCCTGGAGAAGAGAAAGCTCTGGGGAGACCTTATAGCGGCCTTCCAGTACCTAAAGGGTGCCTACAAGAAAGATGGGGGGAGACTCTTTATCAGGGAGTGTAGTAATAGCACGAGGGGTAATGGTTGTAAACTGAAAGAGGGTAGATTTAGATTAGATCTAAGAAAGAAATTATTTCCTGTGAGGGTGGTGAGGCACTGGCACAGGTTGCCCAGAGCAGCTGTGGCTGCCCCCTCCCTGGAAGGGTTCAAGGCCGGGTTGGACGGGGCTTTGAGCACCCTGGGCTGGTGGAAGGTGTCCCTGCCCAGGGCAGGGGGGTTGGAACTAGATGATCTTTAAGATCCCTTCCAGCCTAAACCATTCTATGATTCTGTGATTTTTCAGTCAGAGTGGTTTTTAGTTGTCTTCAGTTTTCTTAATTTTTCTTTTTTATTTTTGAGAAAGGAATAGAGAGAATGTTGACCTTTGCATTTATTAGTTCTGTGTGCTAACTGTAGGCCATAGCAAGGTTTTTGTTGTTGTTAAATAGCTGTGTTGTCTGAACACCAAATGGGTGTGCATTCTTGGCAGTGCCATTGTGTATGCCAGTATATCCATCAAAGAAGATGATAATAAAGAAAAGAACATGAAATCTTATATGAGAAAAAAATTAACTGGGAAATACAATTTTCAAACATTAATATTGCAACTTTGAAAAGAAAAGGTGAGTGTTGAGTTTTATAGTCCTTGTTTAGCCTGGTGGTTTAGAACATCTTGACTTCCAGAAACACTTTGCAAATAATGTAAAACACATTCAAAAACATTACACTTAACACAGTAAAACTAAATAAAGGCTGGAAATATTATTAATATTTGCTTGAGTAATGGTAGCCTTTGACCTCGGTGGGAACCAGTGTGGACTTCTCAGTATGGATTTGTTCAGGTGCTTTAGCAGTGGGTGGGCAAAAAGGGGATTGTTCCTGACTTACGACTTGTACAGCCCTGGGAAGCCTCATGGCAGCCTGCAGTCCACTAATGCATGCCACTGTACACGTTTGTTAAATTGATCTGCATGTGTGCACGTGGCTCCCTCTCACGTGTGCCACGAAACAGGAGCTCTGACGTGTGAAATTTGAATATGTCATGTGTACATGGCTGTGTCCAGTAGCACCCAAAAGCACAAGGGAGTGTTGATCCAGTTGCTGGTTTCCAGCTCAGAATTATTTTTGTGATTAAAAAAATAATAGTGGCTTCCACCATTATGCTTAGTACTAATGCTGATTGTTCTATGCAACCTCGAATATACAGTCATATTGTGACCGTAATTTAATAGGACACAAAAGCCTGTCGTTTCCATGATTAAAATAGGTTCTTCTGAATGTGATAGCGTAGAAAGGTGTTAATGAAACAAGATGTTCTTGCTTAACTAGATAATCAGCTTGCACTTCTGGTTATACTTTAGCATTGCTGAAATATTGTATACCTAAAATGATGACTTAAATCGTATTGTTTTCAGTGCAAATGTATTTTAGCTATGAAGCCATATTGCTTTTTCCTGTAGCTATTTCCTGAAAAATTAGCAGAGCTATTGTAGTTGCCATGTGCAAGCTTACTTTTAAATTATTATACCTAAATTGCTAGTCAAATAGAATAGATTTCTTACAGAATACTGAATGATATGTTTAATTGAGGGTCCAGAATATATTTTTAACCTTAATAAGGTAGTTACAATTTTTTTCTGTCTTTTTATCTTTTATTACTTTTCCCTCATTTACCAGTTTTATCTGAGGTGTATAAATACAACAGTTTTTATATGCAGCACAATAGTCTTGTGAAACCTAAATTAGCCACCTAAATTAGGATCTTTAATTTTAATGTTACTGGATCCTGGGTAAGTAGGTTGTTATCTCTTAATAACTGAAGCTTAAATCCTACTTTTAAATCAATCCTCTCTTCTAACTAACACTCTTACAGGATGAAATCAGAAGTTATAACTGTATGCTGAACAACCTATTTTATAAGTACTTTGAACAGCAGTTATAGTTGGTTTATAAGCAGAGAATTTTGCATTCTGATGTAGGCTCAAGGAGGCATCTACTTGCTTCTCATTATGGCAACTGAATATACCTAAGTAAGTAGACAGTTTTCTAGCAGAAGTAATTGTATGTATATATACAAATACACGAAACAATACAAAAATAGGAAGAAATATGCAACATGCTGCATACTAGGACGTGAAAATAAAGAAAACACTGGAGGAATAAGTGTGGGTATATTGGTTTGATGTTTCAGGAAGTTCTAGTGTTCCGGTATGGTATTTACAGCCTATATTGATCTGCCATGAGTACTAAAAATATATGTGGATGTATTTACCGTATTACTCTCTTGACTCCTTTGGAACACTTCTATGACCAGGTACATAGAGGGAGTAGTGGATGCTGATGGATAAGAGTGTTTCATACAAGAAAAGTGTGAAAGAAGGTACGAGACTGAAAGAGGGGAACCTGCGTGTTGGCAGTACAGGAGTGTGAGGAGATGTAGAATCCGGACCCAGTAAGAAAACAAAGGGATCAGATGCTTGGAAAAGACATTTCACTGCCATTGCTTTGACTGAGCACATGAATTGTCAGAACTGAATGGGTGATTCTTTAGTCAGCATCTAATAGTAAATTTAGCCCCCTAAAGAATGAAAAACTCCTGTAATCAAGGAAATTTTTGCTCATACAACCAAAGCAGATCAAGTTCTGTTTTCCAGTGCCAAGTGGCTAAGGTTGTTTGCTTCATAGCTATTCTCACTGCTCCAAAGGGGAGTTTGAACTGTTTGGTCAATCCCTGCTGGGTTCATTAACTTTGTGTGTTTGTTTCTGTTACCCCATTGAGAAGGGAACGGTTTATATTTGTGTTCCTAAAAGATTGGACCTGAATTATTTAACCAAACCCCACTGAGCATGGAACCTTTTGTAATTGGTTGAACTCGTGCTCCCAGGGTCATTTTCATCTGCTTCTCTGACCTTGCCAGAGGGAATCCCTGTTTATTTCTTCATTTGGTAGAACTGTTTATCTGGGCCCTGCTGAGGATAGAAATGGGCTGCTTGCTTTCTACTGCAAATGGGAACCACGAGAGACTATCACTTGTAAAGAGAGTATAGCTTATGTAAGATGGTTTTTGATTTATCTTTTTTTTTTTTTTCTTTCCCTTCAGAGAATTGGTAATTTCTTGTCTTGAAGGTGTTGCAGTGATTCTTCAAGCAGGAGTAGGAAGGCTGGTGACAACAGTGAGAAGATGCAAGGTCTTGAAGGTAGAGAAAGAAAGAAAGGTACATGATATAAGCTGTCAGCCTGCTGGGCTTTAATTCTCAGGCAGTCCAGCAATGCACTGACTCATTTTTTGCCCTGCTTCTGAAGAAAGCCATAGTAGCACGAGCTACCTAAAAAAACCCCTGTGCCTCAAAGTGGGAGGAATGCACAGTGCTGTTGGAGCAGTGACTTTAATTTCAATCCTAAAATTCAGCAGCATAAATGTTAGAGCAGATTGAGCATTTCTGTTACAGACATTGGACTGATTTTTGAGAGGTGGTTTGTGTTACTGCTAGGATTACCATCGAAAAACACCCCACACGTACAAAATAGCCACTGTAGAGCGACAGTGGACCTGTACATTGATTTGAATCTTTTACCTGTGGTGGTTAAAAGTGTTATATTTATCTCAAGTAGACACACTCAGAGTGGCTTAAAAGAAGCTGATTACTCCAGAGCACAAAAAAGAAAAGTGAGCTGTAAGGGAAAGGTGCTGCTGTTGTGGTATTTAGACCAGCTGGGAGTTGCATAAAATTTATCTGTCTCCTGAGAAGCCTCAGTTGGCAGGACTTGTGTGGATTTCTGCCCATAAAAATAAACTTTCTTTACCCTGGTAGAAGCTACAGCCAAGAGTTGATCCCTCAGGGGTGAAAGCTTCTGCCAGCACAGCTGTCCCTCTAGGCAAAGTAAAACGACATTATGCTATGCCCTTTAATCACTATGGGTTATATCTCCTTGTCTTTAAACAAAATTACTTCATCAATTACTGAATATTTTTATCGCTGTGCTTATATGTTAAAGTAATATATACCCAAGTACAACTGTCATGTTCCCACTATAATGTACACCTTCATTTATTGCTTATATGTTTTAAATGCCTCCTTTAATCATTGTCCAAATCTGGCTGAAAAGCTGAGTGTACCTCTAACAAATATAACACACTTTTAGCAATTTATCTATACATAAATCATAAACTTTCAAGCTGGAGGCCATCTTGCATTTTCTTGCTGGCTGGAAACATATTTTTTCTTAGCATAGTAATTATGCAACTACAAAGCTAAGTTCAAGCTAAGAATTACAGGCTTTCACAAGATGTATACCATTAAAAACTAAGATGCCAGTAAAGGCAATAGTACGACCCCACTGAAGCTCATTTTCCTTTTCACTTGTGTTTTTCAATGTCCTCATAGCATCCTTTCCCCTCTGAAGAACATCCTTTATTTCCTAATACTCAGTAAGTCTCACATACATGCCCAGTTCCACTGAATTAGGCTCACATAGATTATCTGATCTGACTAGAAAAAGATACTTTTCTACTCTAAAAAATAAACTTGCCCACGAAAAAAATTATGAAAGAGGAAGAAAGGGATTCAGTATAAGAATCTAAAGTGAGCTGAGTAAAGCAGAAAAATTGCAAACATGTATTAGGGACTTGAGCATATTTTGACTTCATGGGCTACTGCAGTGTTTTAAAAAAGTAAGAATATTAGTGGCCAAGTTTATACTTCTTTATTTAAGGCATTAGGTGATATTCTAATGATCATGGCTTAACTCTGCCCTGATAGAGTAGCCCTAAAAATAATTTTGAAGGTATTGTGCTCTTTTAATTTGCGTACAATTATCTCTATATTCATATAGATACATTTAAATACAAGATAGTGAGGATGACTGAAGGGAAATAAAGGCACCAGGGGAAACATGAAATATCAGTCGTGTGTTGAGCAAGTCAGTTATGGAGTAGTTTTTCCTTACTTTGAACTTTGTATGCTGGTGTGTTTTTGAGTTACTAGAGCTGTTAGAACAAGGGGAGATGAGACCACCAGCCTTTGAGGTTGGGGAATTAGGGAGGAGGAGTGGAAGGAGGACAGTGAGCATTCCTGTGGAGCATGCTGAAGCAGCAGTTGCCCTTGGAGAGGAGTGACAAACTAAGGGACTGGTGAGGGAGCATGTGATTTCACCACAGTGCCGTTACAATGAGCGCTAAAATGCTGGTGGTGAGAAGGAAACTACCGATATTTCTCCTTAGTCTGTGTGTTTGCATCTTGTTCATGGTCAGTTTTTAACCCACCAATGTGTCTGGCTCATTCTGAGGGGTGGTGTGCAAGAGGGGAAACTTACTGTCATTTTGGAGACAGATGAGAAATCTCTGTGTTTCACATTGCTTAGGTACAGCAGGTCTGGTCTTGCTGTTGTCCATTCATGGTCCCTTATGGTTTTCTCCATTCAGTCCTTACTATCCTGTGATGCTAACCACTGCAGAATAGTGCTTACAGGAAAATCAGGCAAGAACCAGCCCAAAAGGCTGCTTGTTGGGCAATGTGACATTTAACATACCTTTCAGATTTTAATTTTCTTCATACTTAACACACTCAAACTTGTGCACTGTCACACCCTATGGCATATCTCATTACTCAGGCTCTTGTGTATCTGCAGCTATCTAAGCCAAAAAGACTTCAGGCCTGAATGGTAATACTTTTTAAGTGATTCTCAGAGAATAGTTTTAAATGAATATTGTCTTGTTTTCTGCAAATGGTTCTACTGTGGAATTCTGAAGTTTATACAAAAAGAGTTGGCAGTATCTCTGGCAAACACTGTTTTTCTGGTCAGTTGTGAGCAGTCCCTGATGCATATTCAGTATCAGCATCATCAGAGACAGCCCTAGCTGTTTTGTTGCCTTGAGTAAAATAGATTCTGCTGCCTGTACTCCAACATTCACAAGAAATAGAATTTAATACCAGGCATTTTTATGGAATTTTAGAATGCCACATATTCAGTTATTATGAAATACAGTCTCACACAATTCCAGAAAAATATGAGACAAAGTATTTATGCATTATAAAAATTAACATCTTATTAGCAATTTAATCAGTGCAGTCACAAATTGGCTCTAAAAATGCTGTCTCTCCAATTTTGCAGCTCTGGGCAACTGTCCAGTCTTTACATAAGGTGAGCTGCCCTCTATGTGGTTCTGTAAGGCACTGAACATTTTTTCAAGTTTTAATTGTATGGTTTATGCATTGACTTAGTTGAGTAAATTGTGAATTAAAATTGCACATATGAAATTTGTCACTGTTTTTTGTCTAACAAGACAGAGATTTGCTTTTGCTATGTAAGACTTAACTTGAAGATTTACTTTCAAAAAGGATAGTATTAGTTGTCTGTGGTATGTACATAAAGCATGAGGTAGTTTATCATCACCTTCCATAAATTTTCTTTTATGAAGCCATGATATCCACAAAAATGTTTGTAATGCAACATTCCCGAGTTGCACATTTTACAAACACAGCAACAAAATATGAGTATTGCAGCACATGCTTTTTAGAGATTCATTTCTCAGCCAAACTGAGCATATTTTTTCTCAGCAATACAGAAAAGATTGCAAAATCTCAGATTTCAACACTATACTGTTCAGCTGTGGATCTATTTCAAAGAAGATGGAAAGAACATTTTTAGAATCCATAACATGTTTTTTCTCACTTTCTTAGTCTGTAAAAGTTAAATAAACAAACAAACAGGAAAACATCCTCCTACCTACCCCAAAACACTTAAGATTTAAAAACATTGGACTAGAACAAGGAACTGGATCATTATTTTCAGTCCTCTGCAATACCAAGAAACTCTATTATGAACATATAGGGCTGGGTTTATCCAAAGCCCGAGTTCAATAGTTTAGGTATCTGTAATTAAGCAACCTATCTAGAATCACTTTATATAATAGAGAGATATAGGCATTTGTAGGTCACATATCATTTCGGTGTAGCTTAGATGTCTAAAACAGGTCAGTGAGATATGTCCCAGAAGTTCCTTTCTGCCCACTGACTATAAGTGAAACGTAGGTATCCAGAGCACAAGCAGATGTCAGCACTGTTGATGTCTAAATATGGCTGTGTTGTATCCCTCATTTAAATCAGAAAAGGTGACAAACTGTGTGTAAGCCAAAGAATATCTTGCAGAACTTTATTACAAACTTAAATCTTCCCTAAAATGTAAAAAGCTAAAAGTATGTACTAGTAGGAGAAATGGTAGAAATGGAGAGTGTCACCCAGTATCCGAGGTCTTGCAGGGTATTAGACAAAAAAAAAAAAAAAAAATCAAAAAAAAAAATCACAGCAATGGAAAATGATTTGTGTCCAGAGCTCCATTATTAGAACAAACTGCTATATAGCTTTAAGTTCTATTGCCACTGCTAACATAAAGCATTCTTTCAAGAAAACCAACATCCTTGGATTGTGCCTGAAGGAAAAATTGTGCCGTAATATTAACGATCTCACTTGGCTGTGTGCGAAAGAGATTATTTTTTTAAGTGTCTATTAATAAACAGACATTGTACTGAAACAGATGTCAGTGAGTAGCAAACCTGAGCTGAGGTTCAGATCGGCATCCAGACTAAATGGTTCTGGTGAACTTCAATTTTAACAGTCTAAGCTTATGATCCTGGAAGAAAACCTCAGCCTCTCTCTGGTGTATGGCTCTCTTCCAGGAAGGAATGGTTAAATTTAGTATGTGCCTCTCTATGAGTGAGCACCAAGGTGCAGTAAAGCAACTACATCTAGGCACCTATCTCAGAGGAGCTCTCAAGTAGCTGGAATTGTATTATATTTAAAAACCCACTGCCATTATTATTCACAAAATACACTGCCAGATTAGTCTCATATGGTGAGTTGAGTTATAGGTCTCTTGGTATCCATACGTTTTTATAGACAACGGTCCAAGACAGTATTAACTTTTATTTTTGTCATGTTCAAGCTGATGGTGAACTGCAGGCCAACTGCCTGCCACTGATGTGCCCTTTGCCAATTAGCTCCGTCACTCACAAGCACACTTTAGCATTAGTTCTGACCTTCTACCCTGTGCTCAGTTCCCTGAATTTAGAAGATCAGCCTCAATGCAGGCACAGATTTAAACCCTTCTGTTTGGTCTCTGAAGTGGGTGGACGAGAGGCAGCTATGGTCTGACACCGTGATGCTCAGTTGGTGCTGTGCCGTGCTCGCTCGGGCTGACCATGCAGTTGGCATCCCTA